TTTTTAGTAAAATCAGGATCGAAACCCTTAAGTAAGATTGTATCGGGATTTTGACTACATTGGTGACAATTAAATGCAAACCATGACTCAGCTGAAAGTGAACCGTTTCTGTGCAAACTTTAAAGTATTCATGTAATCATCAAGGTTTGAGGGCATGATCCATGTAATGCCCACGAGGCGCGAAGCTGCTCCTGGAACCTTGCGATCTTCATGGCGTGCTAGCAAACTTCATGGCCTCTCCTCTATACTGTGATATGTATCTTCAATCGTTTCCCCCCTTTTGTATCCCTTTCGTCAAACTTTCGATTGTTTTGCCCATTCTACCTGCTCAAGTCTGAAACATGCCAGAACAAGACCAAACCTAAAGTAAAATGGCTCAACGGACAATATGAAACATGCCAAATAACCAATTAAACAAGGTATAAACATGTATAAAATAGCTCGAATCAAACTCCCCCACTCTTAATTGTTTGCTTGTCACCAAGAAAACCACACTCACACAAGTGCAACAAATGAAAGAAATTCATAATGGTATGCACTATAGTTTGTTGGTAGCACATCAAAGACAACACGCACTCTCGAATGAGGACCTTGTTAACTAAGGAGGTCTAGACATTTTACGCATGCACCGGGGGACTCTCAAGAAAACATGAAAAGCGATGGACTCCATGGTGGTGCTCATATTTTTTTCAAAAGAGGACATAAATTTTCGAGTCTCAACGTACATTTTTGCACATGGCACCAAACATTTGCAATATTTCCATTTAGGCATCTCTCCCTCGGGCTAAGAGCAGAAGTGCATTGCCTTCTCTATCAAAGCCTCATGTGGGAAAATTGATTGTTGGGTTCATTTCCACAAGCACCAATTCCTCCATGAGGAGGAGAGGTGTTTGGGAGTTGGAAAGTAGTAAATGATGATCGGGGCACTATAAAGATATCCAATCCACAAACACAGACCATGAGAAAAGTTCCTTGACGACTTAACTCAAACACTATGCCCAGTTTCCTCTCATGTGAGAACACTCATTTTTCAAAACATTTTGAAAATGAAGCACCTTTTGCAAAACTTTTTAGAATCCATAATTTTGAGAGAGAGTCCCGCACACATGTCCTAACCTAGATAGTAAACATTATCAACTCATCCTAGAGGAGATAGAAGTAAAGCTACCCATGATAATAAAAAACCTCGTGCCGCCATACTACTCCCTATAATGCACACCATCATAACATAAACTCTTCAAAGCACGGTGAGTAGGATTCATGCACGAGACAATGTATTTGGAACCCTTAAGGTTCTAAATTTTTTAGCATGAAATCTAGGTTCCATAAGAAACAAAATGTAGCCATTATTCAATCATTCATTCATAAGCACTTGTAGCCCTAAAATTGTAGGAATTTGGTAAAACAAAGGCTCCAGGCATAGAAGAACTAGGCCATTCATCACATTCGCATTCACTCGCCATTCACATAAATATTCAACACCCCTCACACTTAAGCACAACATTATCCCCAATGAAGCAAGAATAAGCATGGAATGAAGATACCGAATCATTGGGGAGTGAAAGTCGGACTGGAGATGGACCAGTTTGGAAGGAGAGAGAAAGCTAACAAAAAAACACAAGCAAAAATACATGCTCCCCAAAGGAGAAGTTATTACACAAACACAATATCTAGACATCAAAAGAAAATAAAAACAAACCAGCGTTGGGTCCCAAAAAGTGCTACTTTTACGTCATAAGCTAGATGATTGTTCCTTAAAGTTTGGTCGATCCTAGCACCTCCTTAAAGTTAAAGTTCTTGCCATCAAAGTGGAGGGACAAGTTCCAAGCATATAATGCTTCAAATGATGTAAATGGCTCACAAACTTGGTGTGAATTGAAGCTCTACCCACAAGACCTCTTTTCTATTCTTCTTGTTTCTACTCTTTGCCCCATACCATGTCGAACATTATGAATTGACAAACATCACATCCACCAAGAGGGATCTACAATAATTTGGCCTTTGCTTGGAAAAGAGGTGCAAATGGGTCTTTCTCAAGTAGTGCATCAAGGTCTGGTGGAAAGCTTTGGTGGCACTTGTAACTTGTAGAAGCTTCATCCACCATGACCTCATCCTCAACCTCCCTTAATTTGTTCCTCCCTTTGAGGACAACCAATATCTTCCTCTTCTTCAATACTTAAGTCCTCCTCCTCAACCCTTTCTCTCAACCTTTCTCAATATTAATCAAGCACGTGTCGAATAGAAAGTTTCCAAGCCATGCCCTCCATATGGTAGTAAATTTCTCTCGGGAAGAAGAAAGGTGTAAAAGCCATCAATATAACACTCTTGGTCATCCTCTCCACGAAATCTCTCTTGGGGTGAGTTCCTCTTGCTCCACACTGTTGTTATTGATCGCCTCTTCAACCTCCTCTTTCTCTTCAAGTGGTAAGATATGAAGGCGTGCACATTCTCGCAACCTTCTCTTGTAGTGTCAAATGTGTAATGGAGCATGTTCCTTCAAAGTTTTCCATGACAAGCTCCAATGAGTTGCTTGACATGAAATTTTCTATATTTAGCTCCAACTTGGACTTGTCTTCGGGTTTTGGGAGATCCAAATTCGAGCATCCTTTGTCGGTGCCTCGGGCAAACCGCTCCTCCATGAACTCCATGAAGGAAGTGTCACAATATCTTAGGCTCAGAATGTGAAGTGTCACAAGGTCTTTCAATACATTTTGAACCCCTGGCAGGCGACAGCTAGCCAATTAGGAAATAACTGGTGACTTTATGGAACTTGAATCCTATGTGGATCTAGCTTTAGATATCAGAAATTGATGTTAAAGCTATACAGTGGACTAATTTGTCGTTGAAGTATTTCCTTCCTGAAATCCTTTTAGGCTTGCGTGCATCAAATTTTCGAACCAAATAGTTGCAGATAATTAAATGCTCAAAAGTTCTATATTTTTGTGAATTCCAACTCGACTTCAAATTTTCTCATTCGGTGTCAATCCACACTGAGATTTTCAAACCCCTATCACTAGATACTGATGAACTATGACAACCTAGCAAAAGAATCTAATTTTGTGATGGCCAGTATTCATGCATTGGCTCTCCTGCTTTCTATCACTAATCAACTTCTTAATGATATCATGGTATATATTGAAATTGACAACATGTGCTTCCATTCAGTAAGGATATACAACATTTCGCGGTGGACTCTGGAACTACTTTAGCTTGGGTAGGAATTCATGTCTGAACATAATGATCCCTTTTGGTTCTTGGCACTTTTATTTCATCCATCTAGCTTTATCTGTCTCAATATTATGCAGCTTCTTTTTTGAACAATGTGCTTTCTGGTTTTGGGGTGAATTCCAAATCTCTCCCCATCTTAGAACAAAACCATTATTTCTTGTGAAGACGTTAAATGTTTGCTTCATCCTGCTGTTTTAACCTTCCATGCTGGCTAACCTGCAAAATATCAGAATTTTTTTCCGAGTTCGATTGCCCCCTTTTGGGAGCCTGCTATCATCTTTGGTCTGCCTGGCTATTTGACACAACTACATGTTTCATTTCTGCAGGCATGGATGCTCAAGTATCTTATGCATTTCACTCTGAGTGGAAATTGCATCCCGAAAATTTTAGAACCAGCTGTGTAATCAGGTATCTTCATGTCATTTGAATGATTGTTTCTCCTCTATTCTGTCTTTAAGGCTATTTGAGTTAGGAATATGAGTATATCAATGCATTGCAAATCACAGCTATTCTTTTTCATGTCTTATGCTTTTGGTTTGTCCAACCACACTCTGTAGGGATAGTTCTCAGACATCATTACTGCCATTACAGTATATGCATCAATTGTTGCTTAGTACTCATGATGTTTCTAACTACTGTGCCCTTGCTATCTTTTCTGCCTCTGACCAGAGCACTTATGCTAAGCTTAGTTGCACACAAGGGTGATTTTGCGCTGTTTTTCAGTCCGACTCAAGGCGAGGATTTTTTTTTTTTTTTTTTTTCCTTCTGTCTGATCTAGTTGTGTATGAATGAGATGATGTAAAAATGTCTGATGTAATTTCTCCATAGGAATGCATACTGCTGAACAATTCATGACATTTGACATCATCTATATTCTACTGCAGAATAGCTAGCCTAGCAAAGGTGAAGGTTATGAAAAGATCAGGGCATTGGGAAGATCTAACCATATCCAATGGGCAAGATTTCTGTATCTCTTATAAAAAACTTCCTGGCGATTTAGATGGAACTCATTCCATTATTTTTTTTCTTCTGGTCCACAGGATACGATCAATAGTGTGCCTCAACTTGCCCAGCTTTTCTGGCGGGCAAAACCCTTGGGGAACGCCAAGTACTTGGAAACGCGGTGATGTAAGCACTTCATTCTCCGCTAACTCCAGTCACATATATGCATTGCTCAGTGAATTACTGCTTTTCCTTCCCCCATCGAGTATTATGCGCAGTCCACAACCAATGAACAAAAAAATTGTTAACAATCCGGTTCGAGTTCCACAAAGGCGCAGCAGATCACACTTTCATGAGGATCGACGGGGAGCCATGGAAGCAACCGTTGCCAGTGGATGACGACACTGTTGTAGTGATCTCACGCCTAGGTCAGGTGATTATACTTGCCACGAATGGCTGCCGATCAAGGAGTATGAACGATCCATCGACACCGAGACACGATGCTCACGACGAAGAGGACCGTGATTGTACATGGGGAAGAGTTCAAGAAGTTGGAACTGCTGATACGTTCAAGATGCCAGATGAGTTTGACATTTCCCATCTTCTTAGTTGAATGTTAACATGTTTTTTCCTTTTCTTGATCTGACAAGGACTAAAATAGTCCTTGTAACTTGTGATTTGGGGTGGTAAGTAGGTGTGGGTTGCACATAAAGGAATATGAATTTATGGGGTCATTTTTTCACACGGAAAATATGAATTTAGAAGTTGCAGTCTATGTTCTTGGATTCATCAATCAAGCATTGCCAATGTCAAGAAGAAAATAAAGCAATGCTTAAGATATCTATCTCACATTGTTAATGTCATTAACAAAAATAACTCCAAAACAGTGAAGAAGAAAGGCATCATTACAAGAGAGTATCTTAACAGTTGAATTTTAAGTTCTTACACTCTGTGTAGAGAGTTGGAGCAGCAAAATGGAAGACGAATTATAAACAAGATCCTGAGGGGTAATCCTATATTCATTCATTTCCCACAGGGAACAGAACTGATCTGAATATTGCAAGCCCACAATATTTGCAACGAAGATCAGTTCCAAAGCTGTGAAAACCCACACTTCAACTCTATCCTCGAATTAAAGAGGAAGGAATTATAAATAACCGTTGTGGAGCCATTTACTCAGTTTGGTCTACATCTGCCCTACATAGGTAGGCTGTCCCAAGCAGTTCTTGACGGCCTCGCTAGCCTTCTGCGACTCTGTTCGTTCTTCTCGCTTCTTCTTCTCCCTGGTCATAAACGAAAATGCAGTGTTAGTCAATCCATATTCAGACTCAAATGTGCACTCACTTCAACAGGAAGAGGGAACTCAATTAGTTTTCTATGCTAATTTTTCAATACCTCTCGACATATTCCTTGATTAACTCCTTTGCCTGGACAAGTTTCGAGAGCAGGTTGCGGTATACATCAAGATCCCTGTCCACGCTCCTCTTGTTCACGTTTAGCGCTGCGCAAAGCTGTTGCATGTTGTTCTGGGTTTAAGTATTGAGGCAACTCTTCTATGGTTTTAGGGTTAATTAAAGTAGAAACAAGAGGAGGACAAACTAACAAGAAAATATGGACTAAGAATATTTAAAACTCAAGCTGATGACAGATTAGGCGAGAAACGAAAGCAACAACTCATTGCTGAAACAACAATGAGCACCTCCATTAAACGTAAATTCAGCAAACAATCTCCAACCTGTTCAGGAATTAAAGATCTACTAACCTTGTCCAATACAGTGGGGTCAGTTGCATTGGAAAGCTCGAGCAGGCGGAAAAGCCCGACAGCAAAGAAACGGCTGTAGCTGAATTTACCAGCGCCAGCTCTTTCTGCGATATCTTTCAACATACTCTCCACTTCACCTTCTCTCGAAGGAAACTCGACCAGTGCAGCAGATGTCTGAGTTCTTGCCCACTCCTCGAGCTTCGTAGCATCATTTCTGTACTTCAGAATGCACAAGCGATGACTATGAACCCGTAACTTCATAAACCTTCAAACAACATCAGAAGTACGAGGAAGAAGAACCTGTATTGTTCTGGCTCCTCTTGCAAGGCCCTAATGTATGCTTGGAAAATGATTTCGCGGTCCTCGTCACTCGGGTATCCTTCCATGAGCTTATCATAAACAGTGACAAAGCCTAGAGCAAACACGGGGTCATAACAGTATGTCTTCTTGTACTTAATCAAATGTTGCTGCACGATCAGCTCCTGGAGAACATTGTTGTAGATGCTAGGGATTGGTTTCTTGTAAGCTTTGAGAAAATTCAACTTGGTTTGGGACACAGTCGGCAAATCTGAAATATTAATTAGGCCATAGAATCAACTAACCGGCAGTTCTTAAGCGCCATAGATCATTGGATTTTCTAGCAAGCGGAACACTAAACATTGGACTTCCTCAAATTCAATCAAACCTTGAGAAAAGGAGGCTGTAATGCTGCAATTTTAACCTAATCACCTTATCGAGAAGAACTCAATTAATTCAATTCGTAACAAGTTCAGTGCACCGAGTCAAATGAACACACCGATCCCGATTTCTAAAATCCTCCATTCTAATTCAACTTTTTACCGTATACAAATCAAAGCACTGCTGTAGAAAATTTGGGAATTACCTGTAGAACTGGACATGCAACGGATGACGAAGCCAGAGGTCGAGGAGGTAGAGCCACGAACGCGAGCAGAAGGGAAAGTTCGGGAACGTAACGCTTCGCATGCGGAGAAAGCTAGAGAGCGAGCGGAGGAAGTAGATGAGGAGGAAGACCTTCCGTCAGCGGAAGAGTGACCCATCGCCGGGGAGAAGGAGACTGAAGTGACTGCCGCCATGTTTTCACTGTTGATTCTGCGTATCTCAGCTTTGCAACGTGAGCAGCGAAAAACGATTGGAGACGGCAGGAATTTCAGAGGGAGATTTGGAGCAAGCTAATGTAATCTCTCTACTCAGCTCATGGTGGATTGCATTTTCCCTTTTCTCCGTTCTTCGTTTGGTTCTTGGTTTTTCAAGCGAAGAGGAGAATACTGGGTGGGACTTGGGAGCCGGTGAGGAGGGAAAATGAGGTTGGGAAGGAAGAAGGGATTATCCAGCAAAACTGAAAGGAAATGTGCTTTTTCTTTTTCAATTTGATGTTTTCTGGGAACTATCCGTTAAGATTGTGACACGTAAACTCAAAAGTGTGACTGTGATCTTTGTTGTGTGGCTGTGGTTTTCTGTGAAGCTGGACCGAGGAACAGCCACGTCACAAGACAATGGGTCCCTTGCATCACAGTCACTGCCAGGTAAGCGTTTGGAAAGACATCTTGTTTAGGCTAACAGCAATTAGGGATGACAACATAACCTTATCCAGTATCAGATACTCTACTCGACCCAATTTGATTAAAGCAGATGAATCCTGCATTGACAAATTACGAGTCGAGTTCGGGTTTACCGTTCTACTATTTTGTGGGTTGGGTTTGGATTTTGTCATATCCACCCCGTTTTAACCTGACCCAACCCCACCTAACTCTAACAAGCCAACTCGACCCATTTCCCCCACCCATTCGGTCGTTCCCTTGCCCTGACCCTCTCCTTTACCATCCTAATTTCCCAAATGCATACCCTAATTCTAACTAAATAAAAGAAAAGAACATAGAAACTGAGAATCCCTTCGTCTCCCTAGATCCCCACTGGCCACCCCTATCTTGGTCGCCGCCTCCCTCACTCTTCTCTACCTCTCTGCCTTCCGCTGCCAACCAGAATTTATGGGCGACAGAGAGGAGTTTGTCGCCGCCACCTTCCCTCTACTCTCTATCGTCGATTCTCCCTGCTGCGTGCTCTAGTCAACCACCGCCAGTCCATCAGCTCCACTCGACCATCATTTGGGCAACTGACACGCTATTACACAACACCAAACTACGACCAAGTATGATCGCAGTTAGAAAATGCAGAATAGTGGCAAGTTCAATCTATGAATCCGGGATCTAGATCTACTGCCTACTCCGTGACAACCTGTTATCTAGCGGACTAATTGTAGTGAGAGTGATTGTAAACAAAAGCAGTAAGAAAGCAGGAAATTGTCGAAGTTCTTAAGCAAGGGAAGAGTCACTCGGGAATGAATCCCACTAGCTCCTTAGTTAAGTCAAAGTTGTTATTCCGTTTGGTTGATTTACCGTTGATTAAACTGCGGAAGATCCTGAATTAGCTTGGAATCTCTTAAGCTGACCAAGCCCTCTTAGACAGAATACCCGGCAGGCTACTAGCCTTCATGCGAATAGACTGCTAAGGCGATTCACACAAATCTCCACTACTAGAATGAATTCTAGTACAAAGCAGTGAATTGACTAACTCTCGTATAATCAATTCACTACTACCGATTGAAGAAGCTCTAACAACCTAATCAGATTCTATCTATCTCAGGTTGCAACAAAAATGAAGAAAAGTTGATCAGGCTTCAATTGACTCAATGAATCATGCCTCAATCGATTATAATCAAGTAGTATAGCATCCAAAAGTCATTACAAACATGAGTTAAAACACCTTTTCAACCTCTCAGAACGAAATCACTTCTCCCCCAAATAATAATAATAACTGGATCAACCTCAGCAACACATGAATAGGAAGGAGAGGTCTTCTGCCTCGCTAATTGCAATTACACGCTCTGTAAAGAAAATCCACAAACAAGAGTTCCCTTCCCTCCCGGGGGAATGATTTCTTTTGAAAGTGATGGAATGGCTATCCGGATGATGAGGACAGTCAGAGCAGCGGAGGATTAATCCAGTCGAAATCAGAGTGGGATAGGAATTGATTGGCAATTGGATTAGCAATCCGCGGTGGGGATATGATCACCGGTCATGAGCGAGGCGCATTCGCCCTTCCATCTCTTACCAAGATATTTCGTAGTGATGGCGCCGGTCAATTGGATCCCACGCCATAGTGGATTTGTTCCTTCTCTTTTTCGCTATAGTGCGCTCTAGCAGTTCGCTGCCCAACGCCATTGTGCGCTTTGATACTAGAATAGCATCCAACCATGATTTTTTTACTAACTTTTTGTAGGGCTTCAAAGGAGTTTCAGCCTGGTGGTGACGGGTTTTTCCGATGATGACAAGTTTTCTGGTAGACGAAAAGTCTACGGTGGTGCAGTAGCAATTTTTTCTGCAGTTACAGCACCCACGAAGATAATGCTTTGAACGGTTACAATTCCAGGGCGCTTGTCACAATTCTAAACGCGAGTTCTAACCGCGTTCAACTAAGCTTTATAATTCTTCCTTAGTTATATATTTACTTATCATAATGGTTACAGGTGTGTTTGGTATTTTATTGTAGTGTTGCATTGGTCTTGTATTCGTGACTCTTAATGATAGTGAGGATATGCTTGTCATCAATCATAGAGTATGTTTCCTCCACTAGTTGGTTTTGGTATTTTTGTTTTTGTTTTGTAGACAGAGTAGCTCATATAGCTTGTGGGGCATCTCTAGTGGAGATCCGAGGGTACTTGAATTTTGTTTTGACCCTTAAGGAGTAGATTATATGTTTTTGTAGGTATCTTGCACATCAAATCTATAACTAGCCTTTTGGAACTCGGCTTATGGGAGATGTGAAGTTTGTACTCTCCAGATGGTGCTTCAAGAAGTTTGAAGCAAGAAGACTTCCTTTGTGTTTATTCGTTTTTTTATGTTTCTAGATATACTAACATGGTTGCCCATTGCGTGGCACAAACGACCCTTGCATCGGTAGCAACCCATTTGGTTGACTACCGCTATTTTATTATCACCACATTGTAACACCCTATCCATTACGATCTATCTATGACAAAAAAAAGTCATTACAAACATGATCCCTAACACATGGAACTAGGGTTCTTCATACCCAAGTGAGAGAAAGTTCTAATCCATAGAGAGAGAGAGAGAGAGAGAGAGAGAGAGAGGAAAACAGAATACAAAGCAGTCATACTTATAATGATAGGAAGAATCTTCTTTGGGATGATAATCTTCACTCCATGGATGAAATCCAAGCTTGATTGATGAAACCCTGCTCCAAAATCAACTCTAGGGTTTGTTCTTCGCACTTTCTCTCTCTAGGACTCTATTTTTGCTCTGAAAAATCGATTCTCCCTCTCCAAAATCCGAAATTGGATTTTTATGCAGTTGCCCGCGATTGCACGGCCAGAGTGCACGGCCGTGCAATCCCATAGTCTGTCCGTGCACCCCAAAACGCACCGTTTCATTTAATTCCGCCAGGGGGTGCACGGCCATTGCACAACCCGTGCAATCCGAGAGCCTAGTTGTGCAATGATCTCGCAGAAATCAGCACGGCCACAATTTCATCGTGCACGGTCGTGCGAAAAATAGGGTGAGGACATGCAGCTTCTCGGTAAATCCTGCACGGCCACAAAGGCAACCATGCACGGCCGTGCACTTTCCTGTCCTGGTCGTGCAACTTGTCTGATCTCCCTTCGCTCGTCCTGATTTCGCCCAATCGACCTCAAACTCGTGCTCAAACCTTCATTCATGCATTAAGACCCAAAATGTCATAAACAACAACAACCTAGCGTAAAATTGGTTTAAAACCCGAGATCCGAGCCTCAAACAGTATAAGAATGGTGGACAAAAACATGTGCAAATATCGATTCATCAGCAACCATCTACCAGTTTGTCCACTCCAGTCGACCATTTCCCTTGCCAAATCTCCCTCGCCGTCTGCCTGCTCCAGTCGTTGTCACCCTTGCCTTGCCAAATCTCCCTCGTCGTCCACTCCCAGCGTTGCCCTCGACGACGATGATGCCTTTTCCCGCTTACCACACAACCCATGGGTATCAATTAACCAACGGATACCTAGTGGGTTAAATTGGGTTTGAGTTTTTCAAACCCAATGGATGTTATCCTGGGGTTTTTGGTGGATATACCCATGAATTTGGGTTTGACAAAACCCAACCCAACCCGACCTATCGCCATCCCTAACAACAACCCAAAACCAAAAGTTAAAAGTGCATTTTGACACCCAAAAAATGTCTTCAACCAATGGCTAACAAACGAAACAAAAAGACTAAATTGGATTTTAGGTAGGCATTTTAGCTCTGATTTAGGTAGGCGCTAAACTATTTTCAATAAGATAGTGTCTAGAATGTTAGATGAATTTGACATTTTGACTTCTCAAAAGGTGGTTCTCCTATAATAAAGAGTATTATAATGTCAAAGTACAAAATTTTCTTCTTTTGTGATAATGAGTTTAGCGTAGATTTCTTCATTTTAATTAAGATAATTTGTAAATTATTTTCATATAGGTAGATTAATAAAATATTTCAATATTTTTTTTTTTAATTTGAAAAAATAAATTGATATTAAATATGACATCAACTTTATGTAACCAGTTCGTGAAGCGAGTGCGGGAGCAGAAGCGAGAGCGTTTGCTTTTCAAGAACTCAATATTGAGAGCGAAAACAGAGAGTCAATATTATATTATTTTTAATATACATAAGAAAAATAAGGTGAGTTCTACGGTACCCCTGGTGAAAACCGGGGTACCACATACGTTCAGTATGAAATCGCTATCCGGATCTTGAATTGACAGATCTTTCGGACATGATACTATACCCTAACCCTTAAAAATCAAAATCTAGGTCTTAATTCTCTAAATCTTATACTCCAAGATCAATTTAATTAGAAACAATAATCGACGGTTATGATTCATGCAAATATAGGCAAAAAAATGAATGCACCATCTTAGGGTTTATAGTTTATGATTTAGATAATTAGGACATAGGGTTCACTCATTAAGGGTTAGGGTCATGGTTGTCACGCCGGCCGGCATGCCACCGGTTGTACCGGGTTCAACTGGTATCGGTCATAAAACCGGCGTGACATCACCGGTATGACCGGCATGATCGATATACGAATTTCTAAGTAAAATGACCTTAGTTTAGAGAATTTAATTGATAAAAATTATTTTATTATTTATTTTATGAGTATAAAAGTTAAATATTGATTTTATTTGTAATTTTATTTGTAATATTGACCGGCATGAACCGGCACAAACCAGTATGTGCCACGGGTTGAACCATTCCACTTGCTCAACCGACACACTGGCATAAACCGGTTTGACAACCTTGGTTAGGGTACAGTATCATGCCAAAAAATATTGATAATTCG